CTTTCGTTCTTTGATAGCTGCATCTGTTTTAGCATCTGAGATCGCTGTTCCATCATAAGTGTCTTCTCATATGTGAACGCAGAAATATCGTTTTCAAGCTGCAAAAGATTGACATTAGAAACATCAGAAAAGTACACTCAAAAGAACATTTAGACAGCGTACCACATTCACTCCTGCATTCATTCACTCCTGGATGTATTTACGGCATTAGAGTAATTGATCAATCACTTCTGTCCTCAAAACTTCATCTTCAAACAGCAGTCTCACACAATGAGCTATCCTACTATACCAATATAAACACGATTTTTATCTACATTTGTGGTACTTAGGACAGACTTTCCAGTTCTCTTCCAACTAGGCCGCAGAAAAGAGAAAGGGCTGTTTAATCTGGGTCTGCATTGCTGCCTCCTGAGCATGTGCACATGCTTGTTTCCTTAAAAACTATCCAGAGCCACATAACAACACATTGTCCTTTCACCAGTGAGAAATGTTCACAAATAAAAGCATTTTTGAAGAAAGTGGCATATATTCTCACACCAGCTCACAGCTAAAACACAACAGAAAGATCTACAACAGTCGTCTGTGGTGTCACTGACTCATAATGTATCTTATCTTTTAGAGGATTCTCAGGGTTAAATGTGACCCACGTAAGGGAATAAATTGTGCTTCCTATAACTTCTTCTGCTCAAAACCCAACCAAGGCCGAGCCTTTTTTATGGCACTATTCATCTTCTTTCACCTGCACACACCACAACATTTTAGTCTTTTACATTCAGTACTCTAACCAAAACAAATAAATAAATGGATTTATCTTACTTCCTGGTTCAAAATACTAACCACATTTTTCATAAGTCTTTTTTTTTTTTTCCCCATAAGAGTTAAACGATTCTTAAAGTTTGCTTTATTGCCTATTAGCATGATAAATCTTTTCGATAAGTTTTGTTCATTCCAGGTACTGGTGGTTGTAAGAAGTTTTGAACCAGTTAACCCATCACCTTCATCCCATTTCAGAATGAGTTTAAAAGGTGGGTTTTTGTGTGTGTGTCCGTCTGTCTTTGCACATTATGCTACTCATCTTTGAGTGCTGGAAATTAAGTTTTTCCTTAGTTGCCAAAAAAAGTGGGTCTAGACAAACTACAGCTTTAGTCCTTTCTGTTCAGCAGTTTATGACCAGTATTTTAAAAGGGAAGAAAGCTATAAAATTCATTTTGTCACTATTTGACTTGGGAATCCGTAGTTACATTGTCTTGCTGTTCAGTGGCAAAGAGGCTGGCAATGCCAAAAAACAACTGACAAAACTCTTATGGGGGCCTAGGGGTTCCTTATTCCAGAGAGATATTCACACAGCAGCTGGAGAGATAGACATACTCATCCTCTCTCATCCTGTACACCATGGATTATTAGATTAAGCACATTCAGCCTTCCATATCACTGCCTGCTAAAAACCTGAAGCCTTTTCCTTCCTCTGTGAACCCTCTCTACAGACTAGTCCTCATAAATAAAGTAGGCACAGAAAAATGGCTCAACTATACTTGACAAATACTATTAAACTCGCTGCTGCATACGCTAGCGTTGTAACGAGGTAAGTTTGCTTTAAAAAAAACTTTGGCTCTTGGTGGGATTGCAATCTTTCACCTTTTTATATTTGGTCTAACATCTTAGTTTCAAAAATGCTAAATCCATTTTCCTAAGTTTAGTCCCAACTGCACCTAAAAAAAAAAAAACGTAGTAACATACCATTTCAACAACTTCCACTTCAGCATTCAGTCTAAGATGATATAAGAACATCTGAAGATCCTTCTTCATTTGAATGCTGTTATCATCCATTTGAGCAACAGTAAAGATACGCATTTTACATTTTCTCCAAACCTATCAGAGATACATTATAACAATTTATAACAGTGATTGCCGTCATCATGCATAACTATCAAGGTGAAAGATTACTTCATTAGAAACCCTTAGAACTGTTCATATTGCTAGAAAATGAAATCCCAGCCATTTTCTGTTGTCCTTGCCTTGTGTTGTCGAAGGAGAAAAGGCAGTAACATCAGCATACCACCATCATGAACAATCCACCACACATCTATGTTTCCTTCAGTAAAACGTTCTTGATTTGTTGGAAATAAGTCAATGTTTTTAGCCACCAACAGTGCTTGCTGAGCTGCTGTTGTTTCTCGTACAGTGTCTGCAAGGGAAAACAAGAGATTTGATCAAGAACTTCTAGTTTTCATTCACAGTTCTTGTTTTCAATTCAAAAGCTTAAATCCTCTCAGATTCTGCTGAGGCAAAACAGGAACATCCTGGGTTTAGTGACTAACCTGCTTAGAAGAACAACAAGAGAAGCCATGGCTGAAGAGACTGAGGGCTGAGAAAATCCTGTCCACATGAAATCAGATGTGGGGAAATACTAAATTGTCCACTGGGTGTTCAGCAACACATTTCCTCCATAAAGCAAATACATTAGTTGCACAGTTGTATTACAAATGTATAGGAGAGTCAATAAACACATACCAACAAAGTTTTTCCACGAGAAACGATTTTCTGTCTGCTTCCATGACTGTGGCCAGGCCATCAGGACTGTGTTGTGCTTCATCCCTCCTAGACCAGCTGACTGAATTAAATAGGATATTCCGTCTCTGAAACTAGGAGACACGACAATCTGGCAAAATCCTTTAGTCTTTTCGACTCCCATTAAGGCCTTAACGTTCTGCAAAAGGAAGATTACACATGGGAAATACAGTCATCAACACTCTTAACAAACACCGTAAGGAGTAACAGCACTAAGTAAGTGCAAAACATTAGCTACAAGGTACAGCCAACATCAAGTAACCGCTAATTCCAAAAAAGCGAACATGATTTTATGACAACTAAAAGCCCAAACATCCATCTCCCCAAAAGACACCACACAAAGGTTTTTCTTTAATTAATTATTAAGCCTTTACTTTCCAAAGAAGAAAGAAAGAACAAGACACAAGTAAAACCACATTGACGAAGATAAACATAGTAACACCGCTTCAGCTAAAGTAAAAAATGCTGACGGACACAGCACCATGCTTGGAATGACAAGGCCTTTCTTTTGGAATTCGAAGGGATTGGAAAAACATGATGCCAAAGACTTTATAAGAGCCCACTGAAGCTCCATAAACAATTCTGATGTTAGGAGGCTGATTCTTTATTTACTGGATCCCAACACAGAAAAATAAATGTGCAGGAGACAATAGGAATCACTGGCTGAATAATGACAACATAAACTGACTTGATTAAATCTCCCACACCCCTTTAATGTCAACATGGCTCCCCTTCATTTAAACATTGACCAACATCCAGACACACAACCAAATAAGTTAATATTAGCATTCAAAATGGTATCAAGGTTGAACAGGAACATCAGCTTTGGCATTTACAATGTTTTGATGGCAAGACCTTAAAAATAACATGATTATCTATGACAATGATGTGGGACATAAGAGTGGTTTCAAAAGGAAGAACCAGCACATCAAAATTTTGGAAACATCAAAATTCCTGTCAAGAACCACCAGCAACAGATTTGATCACACAATGCTTGGCACTGGCTCAGTGTGGCTTCACATCGGAAGCACTGTTTTGTAGAGGGGGGAAAAAAAAAAAAAAAAAAGTCTTCCGAGAATTTCACAGCAAAGCTAACAAGTCTGCCTGTGCAAACAATACCTGCCAGGGCATAGCTCTGAATATATGCTTTTTTTCCTTTTTAATAAAAGACAGGAGAAATCCTGATTTCCTGCAGA